GCAAATGGCAAGAGTCCCTTCTTTTTCATGGCTGAGCAGTATTTGCTTGTATACACATACCACATCTTTATCCATTCATCCATCAATGGACACTTAGGATGTTTCCATATCTTGGCTATTATGAATAGTGCCGCAATGAACATAGGGGTGCATATATCTTTGAATTAGTGTTTTTGTTTTCTTTGGATAAATACTGAGGAGTGGAATTGCTGGTTCAAATGGTAGTTCTATTTTTTGTGCCAGGTCTTAGTTCCTGCATGTAGGATCTTCGTTGCGGCATGCAAACTCTTAGTTGGGGCATGAGGGATCTAGTTCCCTGATCAGAGATCGAACCCAGGACCCCTGCACTGGGAACGTGGAGTCTTAGCCACTGGACCACCAGGGAAGTCCTTCTTTTTAGTTTTTTGAGGAATCTCCATACTGTTTTCCATAGTGGCTGCACATTCCCACCAACAGTGCACAGGATTCCCTTTTCTTCACATCCTTGCCAACACTTGTCTTTTCATGCACTTGGCCATCTGTATGTCTTCTTTGGGAAATTGTCTATTCAGATTCTCTGCTCATTTTTTAATCAGGTTGTTTGTTTTGTTTCTGTTTTTGTTTTTGCTTTGCTATTGAGTTGTATGAGTTCTTTATGTATTTTAAATATTAACCCCTTATCAGATATGTGATTTGCAAATATTTTCTCCCATTCAGTAGGTTGCCTTTTCATTTTGTTGATGGTTTCCTTTGCTGTGCAGAAGCTTTTGAAAGACTTGTACACTGCAAACTATACGACATTGATGAAAGAAATTGAAGAAGACACAAATAAATGGAAAGATATTTCATGCTGTTTGGTTTGGGTGGAGTCCTACCAGGAACTCCCACTGGGAAAACAAGAGGATATTTGGCTCCACAGGAAATTTGGGGGGCAGAGAGGGAAGGTCAGTGTCCTGGGTTAGCAGTGCAAATAGGCTTTCAGCAAGAAGACTTCCTTCACTTCTCTCTTGGATGGACCCTTCATACTCAGCTCAAAGCTTCAGCTGGAATGTCTCTGCACAGAATGAATCTCAGGAGGAACTCAGTGTTGCTTCCTAGAGGCTTGGATTTGCAAAGGCTTCCTGTTTGATGGAGGCTGTTTTTGGTACTTAAGCTCATTCTAGCTTTTACTTCTGACCTAGTGAGTTTTTTTTTTTAAAGAATATAGAGGTATTTTCATACAGTAAAATGCACAGATCTTAAGAATAGAGGTCAAACCACTGTGACAGATACTCTCATATAGCCCATATCCCTATTCTGTCACCCCAGAAACTCCCTCTACCCTTGGCCCCTGGGGGACCGTTCTGAATTCCATCACAACACATTACCTTTGCCAATTCTGGAACTTCATGTCAATGAAATTGTACAATATGTGCTCTTCTGTGTCTGGCCTTCCACTTGGCATAATGTTTGTGAGACTCACCGGTGTCATTCCTTTTTATGGTTGAGTTAGTATTCCACTCTTTCAATATCTTACTTTGTTTCTTCACTTTCCTGTTGATAGTCACCTGGGCTGTTTCCAGTTTGGGGCGTTAGTGATAAGGCTCCTGTGGACATCCTCGCACAAGCTGTTTTGTGGGCACAGGTTTTTATTTCTCTTGGATGGATACCTAACAGTAGAATGGCTGGGCCACGTAGTAAGTGTATGTTTAACTACTGATTATTTTATTATGAAAAACTGCTGCACTGTTTCCAACGTGGCTGTAATGGTTACACTTCCTTGAGCAGCACTCCACCGCCTCACCACCACTCTGTGCTGTTGGTCACTTTCTTTTTTTCTTTCTTTTTTTTAAAGGCTGCTTTTTTTTTTTTTTTTAAGAGCATTTATTTAGTTAGTTTATTTTTGGCTGCGTTGGGTCTTAGTTGTGGCACGCGGGATCTTCATTGAGGCACACGGGATCTCTCCTTGCGGCACGCGGGCTCTTCCTTGCGGTGCGCGGGCTTCTCTCTAGTGTGGCGCACGGGTTCCAGGGCGTGTGGGCTCTGTAGTTTGCAGCATGCAGGCTCTCTCATTGAGGCGTGCGAGCTCAGCAGTTGTGGCACGTGGGCTTAGTTGCCACGTGGCATGTGGGATCTTACTTCCCTGACCAGGGATCGAACCTGTGTCCCCCGCATTGGAAAGCGGATTCTTTACCACTGGACCACGAGGGAAGTCCCTGTCGGTCACTTTCATGTTGACCAGACCATTGTATGTAGCAGGTAAGTCCTGCTGCCTGCTGGGGTTTTAATGTGCGTTTTCCCAATGTGATCTAGTGAATTTTAAAGAGGCTTCAAGAATTCTGCCCAGGCCAGCCACCTCCCACGCCTCAGTCCACCCTCGCCTGGAATGCGGCACGTAGAACCATGGGCATTCGCTCTATTTGGGGTACATTCATGGGGCCTGCGAGTGTGAGGCAGTGCTGGGGACATGGGGCCCTCCCCCAGGAGCATACACTCCAGGTCAGGGGCAGCACCCTCTGTAAGGGGCAGATTCAGGCCATACAGTCTCTGTCACGATGCTCAGATCTGCCGTGGATGTGTGAAAGCAGCCCTAGAGAAAATATAAAGGAATGAGTGTAGCTGTATTTGTAGACACTGAAATTTGGATTTCATGTAATTTTCGTACATCATGAATTATTCTTCTTTTCACTTGTTTCAATCATTTAAAAATGTAGGGCTTCCCTGGTGGCACAGTGGTTAAGAATCCACCTGCCAATGCAGGGGACACAGGTTTGAGCCCTGGTCCGGGAAGATCCCACATGCCATGGAGCAGCTAAGCCCGTGCGCCACAACTACTGAGCCTGTGCTCTAGAGCCCACGAGCCACAACTACTGAGACCATGTGCCAAAACTACTGAGCCCACACGCCTAGAGCCCTTGCTCTGCAACAAGAGAAGACACCACAATGAGAAGCCCGCACACCACAACGAAGAGTAGCCCCTGCTCGCCACAACTAGAGAAAGCCCGCGTGCAGCAACAAAGACCCAACACAGCCAAAAATAAATAAATAAAATAAATAAATTTATGAAAAAAAATAAAAACGTAGACAGCGTTCCTAACTTAAGGGCCACATAAAAACAGGTGGTAGGCCAGCCTGGGCTGAGGGTGGGCAGAGGCAGCCCCCCGAGATGCAGCTCGAAACCAGGCCGCAGGACCTTCACTTCAAATCCGCCCCTCCAGTGAGGGACTCCCCAGGGGTGAGGGCTGCAGAGGGCAAGATCCAGACCAGGGAGGCCTGTGGATATTGGTTGTGTGTCCTTCGCCGCCCCTCACAGCCCCACAGGCTCCACAGTTCGGGGGCTCCTTCTCTCTCCCCACCCCCAGCTCTCTCACTGACCCCAGCTCTGACCACTTCCCCTTCTGCCTGGTCCCTTTGGGATGGGACACATAAGAATGCCTGCCCGCTGCAGTCGGGTGCCTGCCTTCACCTGTCCCCCCAAGTCCCCCAGGCCCAGCCTGAGGACCTGCTAGGGAGGGGCTGAGGCTGGTTTACCAAGCTTACCTGGCTGGGGTTGTGGTTTGCAGGAGCTGTGCTGGGCTCAGCCCTCTGCGGAGGGGCTGTGCTGTCTGTAGCCTGGCTAGGATGATTCTGGGGAGTGTCTGGGAGGCAGGGGAGCCCATGAGGAAACTACCACAGGAATCCCAGCAAGAGGACCCAAAAGAGCAGCTAAGGATGGACTAGATACATAGGGAATAAAATGGCTGGAGGACCCAGACTTCGTCTTGGAGGACCGGCTCCTGAGAGAGAGTCCTTGGGAGCTTGGGAGAGAAGGCAGGCCCACCAGGCCTGATGTTATTGGCACTCGATATGTGAGCAAGCAGGAAGGCTTTGGCCTAAAGAAGGATCTGGAGCCCCGTTGGGTGTGGAGGGAGGGCAAGGAAACAGGATGAGCTGTGGAGAAAGATGGTGGAAGGCCCTGGGCCGCACCTGTGACCCCTCCCCACTGGGGCCCTGCCCCAGGACCACACCCACAGACACTCCCCACATGGGGGAGCTCCCACGTGTGCAGTGATGAGCTTGCACACCACATGTCATCGAGCTTTTCCAGATGCCACGGATTCACCCACTCCCCCTCCCTGCGACCCCTCCCCCCAGCTATGTCCACCTCTAACGCTCAGCGCCATCCTAGGTCTACAGGCCCAGAGATTGGCCAGTCTTAGAAACTCAGTGAGTGGAATCCTTCAGGCTGTGCTCTTTAGCGCTGCCCACTCTCACTCAGCACTGTTCGTCTGCGTATTGGATGTGGTCTATCATTCTCACGGCTGGGGACTGTGCAACTGTGGGAACATGCCACAGTTCATTTATCAGTCCAGCATTGGTGGGCATTTGCGTGGTTTCCAGTTTGGGACTGTTCTGAATATTTGAGTATTATGAGCATTTCTGTACATGCCTTCTGGTTGGTATAAGCATTCATTTCTGTTGGGTATTTTCTCTGGACTAGAATTGCTGGGTCAGAAGTAGGTGTTTGTTTAGCTTCAGTGAATACTGCCAGTTTTTCAATGTTAAACCAACCTGTAAGGACTCTCCTTGATGCAGAGACCCCAGAGGCCAAGATAGGATCAGGGAGGAGCAGTGGGAGCAACACTGAAGCCGGGGACCCGAAGAAGGCCCTGGGGAACAGCAGCGGTGGTGCTAGTGGGTGTAGACTGGAGGGTTGCTGGTGAGAGTGAGCAAGAGGGCCCCAGATGAGGACCTGCAGGTAGGAACCAGGTGAGCAGCTTTAGGGAGGGGGACGAGCAGGAGGAGACACCGTCTCAGGGAGTGGACATGAAGAGAGTTGCTGGCAGGAAGGGGCCATAAGTCCAGGACCTCACCCTCAGCTCTGGAAGTTGAGAAACTCAGCAATACTCCTTCACCCAGGGGTCGGTGCCCGGCCCCTCCAGCAGGCCCCTCCCATCCTGCGACCCCGCCCTTCCTCAGGCCCCGCCCCTCACGTGGTCCGGCGCAGTGCGCAGGCGCACCCTCTGCACCTCCCTTCCTCGCCGCCGCAGCGCAGTGCGCAGGCGCGGCCTGGCAGCCGGCGAAGCTGCAGCATCCTCCGTGCGGGCGTGTCCCCGCGGCTTATCTTGCCCTCCTCCTCCTCGTCCTCCTCGGACTGCCGGCGCGATGGCGAAGCCGCTGACGGACGGCGAGAGGCGGAAGCAGATCAGCGTGCGCGGGCTGGCGGGGCTGGGCGACGTGGCCGAGGTGCGGAAGAGCTTCAACCGGCACCTGCACTTCACGCTCGTCAAGGACCGCAACGTGGCCACGCGCCGCGACTACTACCTGGCGCTGGCGCACACGGTGCGAGACCACCTGGTGGGCCGCTGGATCCGCACGCAGCAGCACTACTACGAGCGCGACCCCAAGGTGAGGCTGCACCGGGGTGGGGAGAGACCCCCGGTGAGGAGGGACCTCCCCGCGAGATGGGGAGAGACCCCCCCCAAGTGAGGATAGACCCACGGGTGAGGAGAGACCCCCTAAGATGGGGAGTGACACCCCGCCCCACCCCCCCCCCAACCCCCCGGAGTTGAGGAGAGATCACCGGGTGAGACGGCCCCGCACACGGCGTCGCCTAACCCTCACCTCCCGTACTGGGCGGCCTGGAGCCCTGTGGTTGGGGCCTGCTGTCCGGGCGGGCAGAGATGGGGGGCGTCACTGGGAAGCCTGCTGAGGAGAAGGAGCCCGCAGTGATGGGCTCTGACTTCCAGGCGTTCACACCTGCCTTGAAGAACTTCACTTAGCTTAAGGTTGGCCGACGTTAAGGAATTGTTTTCTTTTTACATTTTACACACATGTAGGTTTATGGTAGAAAAGTACAAAATACACGAGAGAAAATGTGCTGATCACCTCCGTTATTAACTGTGTTAAAATATAGGTGCATGTCCTTCTACATCTTTTCCTGTTCTTGAATATATATGCACACTTTTAAAAAGCATGTTGTATATACAATTTTGTGGCTCTTCTGTTTCATTCATCAACATTTGTAGCTTTTTCAACAGCTTTCCAAGTCAGTAAATATGATTCTCCAAAGTGGTAGTTTTCGGTTTGATGGGTATGGGCTTGGCCAGGCCCCTGCTACCAGTTTTGTTGGTTGGTTTTTGTTTTTTTCCTCTTGACCATGGAAAGTTTTATCCTTTCTACTATACTAATGTAGAGTGAAAACTGGTGAGGAAAGGACACACTTGCAGGCCTGAAGCCAATTTGCAAAGATTTGACTTGCAGTGCACACCTGAGCACTGGGCAGTCGCTTTGTTGATAGTATTTTACAGTATTTTTGTAGGGCGTTAAGAAATGTTTAATAATTGCTAAGTCTGAGATTGGTTGCCTTTCCAAACTTATTCTGGGGCACTCTTTTTTCCTAAAAGAGAGGTGGTAAAAAGGACAGATTTGTTAGAATACCAACTAGGATCTTCATATTTAGTATGCAAGACAGTGAAGAATGGAGTGGCACCAAATGGCTGAAACAGGTTATTTCAACAAGGGCTTGGGATGACTTTGCCAGGGAAACTGGCCAACAGGCAGTGGCTCCCCCAGAATTCCCTGCTGATGGCAGAGCTCTGATTTGCAATATCATTGTTATTCATGTAGCAGGTGACATCTCTGACGGCATATTCAAGGGTATTTCCCTGCAGCTGGACCAGAACACACTGCAACACCGTGGGGTCCCATTACAGTGTTTATTTATATTTAGATCCTGAAAAGGCTAGTGATGGGCTCAGGGATTACAGAAATAACCTTTCATGAACAGGATTAAATCCCTCTAACAAAACAGGTTTGCTCATCCTCACTGATTGCTATGGTGGCTATAGGTGTAAACCTTTCTCTTCTTTAAAGCCACACAGCCTGTAAATGGAAGGTTGTTTGCTTGTCCTGGATAGGAAGGTCATCTGAAAGTGGAAACTTGGAATTTGAGTGCTTCAGTCTGGCTAATTCATGTTGAAAATAAGCTCATCATCTCCTTTTTCTGCAAAAGTTACATGTTTGCTTGTAAAGGACAAGGAACAGTTCTCCCAATAAGAATCCTGCAGAGCCACACCCCCAGCCTAAGAACGGCTTCAAGGATGTGAACCACTGCACTGCAGACTTAGGCAGCCTGAAGATCTAAACAATAAGTTAAAGTGCTTGTATTTAATATTTTTATTTACTTCAAAACAGTTATGCAAGTCCTTGTGATTATTGGAGAAAAAATTAGAAAACACAGATAAGCCAAAAGGAAAAAATTAACTGTAATCTCACCACCTAGTGGTAACACTGTAAATGCTACAAACATCTTGTGTTCCACATCTTTTTTTCTGTGCGGGTAGAAACATTTGTTTTTATTACACAAACTAGTATAGTGCTATGCTGCACCTATTGTTTCATAACTCTCAAGCACTCTATTTTTGGTAATAGTAGAAACGGTTGAAGCTCAGTGTTCAGAGGAAGAGTTTTCAAGTAAGCTGCCTGACAAATCAGCAAGTCAAAAAATCAGGCTAAAATTAAGAAGTCTGCTCTTGGCAGGAGGCAGGCTTAGTTCTAAAGTCGGCTCCAGGCGTCTCTGAAGTGATGGCAAGGTCAGGACTCCACTGCAAACTCAGGGACGGAAAAGAGCTGGGTGGTGAGGGATGGCTCACAGAAATCCAGGCTCCTCCTGGCTTTACCATTTGGCCTGTTTGACCCTTGGGCTTGGGTGGATTTCTTAACCTTTCTTGGTCTCAGTTTCTTCATCTTTAAAATAAGGAAGGTCAAGCTAGGTAATCCATCCCTGAGTACCTTGCCGTTCTAAAACATTACAGCTTTGTGTTTGCTGATAAAATGTTTCCACTTTATATTAACATTCCATCCAAAAAGAATTTGAGAATGCTTAAGCAAGATATGCTGCAAAAGTTTCAACTTCATAGAAGACCTCAAAGAGAAAGTTGGGGCAAGACAGTAAGGGTAGGAAAGTGGGTTAAGTTCAGATACATGGTCAGGAGACAAAATGCAGATGTAAGTTCTGGCAACCAAAGCAAATTGCAGATCATGCCCAGTTATGGGAGTCGTGGAATCTCTGCAGTAAATTCTAGAATGAGCAGATGCGAGATTTCTTCCATGGGTCTTTAAAGGAGATGTTGTACGATGTGGACAGCTGGCCTGATTGCATCCTTGTAGTGGATGGACTGGCCAGTTTACCATGGCTCTTCCCCATGAGCTCTTGGCATAACCGTAATGGTGGACTAAGGAAAGGAGCTCTACCACTGGGTCCGAACAGCTGTCCTAAATATTTCTAGTAAGATAATCATGATGAATACAATTAATCTTACGGTTTGGCTGGATCTGGGAGTTAAAGGAAGATGATCTAGAGCAGTTTTTTGTTGCCTTGGCTGCACACAACCCCTCCTTCTGAAATTTTGTTTGAATTAGGCAGGAGTGGGTCCAGCACTGGGATCTTTTTGACCCACTCAACTGTTCTGATGTGTTTGCCCTCATCTGTGTGAAGTTGACCTTGTATCCCACGGGCAAGCTTCCCTGATAGCAGAGAGCTCAGAGTTACTTTCTCTGGCCAGAAGCCGGGGAGGGGCAGATGTTTCATGTTGCTGATTACCCTGACAGCTTGCCAAATGGAAGGTAGGCTGAAGCTGTCATTTATGAGATTAGGAAGCTTTGGGTGTGTGCCGTGATTTTTCTTGCAAGACAGTCTAGCCTCTGCTCCTGCAGGCTGTGATGGTTAATTTTGTGTGTCAACTTGGCTGGGCTATGGTGCCCAGATATTTGGTCAAATATTTTTCTGGTTGTTTGTGTGAAGGTATTTTCTAGATGAGATTAATATTAAAGTCAGTGGATTTTGAGGAAAGTAGATTACCCTCTGTAATGTAGATGGGCCTCTAATCAGTTGAAGGCCTGAACAGAACAAAGACTGATACCCCCACCATACCCACCTCCCCTCTCTTCCTCTCCACATCCCTCCCCAGCCAGAAGGAATTTGTTGGCAGAAGGCCTTTGGACTCCAAATGCTGCTCCATCTTGGGTCTTCAGGCTGCAGGCTCACCCCAGCAGATTTTGGTCTTGGACCCCCATGATTATGTGACCCAATTCCTTAAAATAAATCTCTGTGTATATATCCTGTTGATTCTGTTTTTCTGAGGAACACTGACTTACAGTGTTGTGTAAGTGGATGGCTTAGGCAGCCTTAGGCAGGTGCTGTGGATGGCTAACCCTTTGTATCTTTATGAAATATTGTAACCGATCTTATTTCTGCATCCTAGCCCTTTATAGATGATTTTTTAAATGTTTATTTTATGTGATTTCAGACTTTTACAAGTTGCAAGAATGATACAAAGAATTCCCATATGCTCTTTATCCGGATTCCCCAAACATGAAACATTTTTAACATGTTTGTTATGTCTTTCTCTCTGTATAACTACATTTTTTCTGTGAACCATTTGAAAGTAAGTTTTAGACTTGATACCCCTTTACCCCTGAAAACTCAAATGTGTAACTCGGAAAATCAAGTAGATTCCCTTATACAACAAGAGCATTTGGAAAAAAGGGTGTTCACACCAACATGGTGTTGTCAACTGCAGACGTTACCCAGCTTTGTCAGCTGTGCTGCTGATAAGAAATACAAGGAAGAAAACTGAGATAACTTTACACATCTTTCCAGATATACCTCCTTTTCTCCCGCCCATTAAACAGAGCAGGCTCTAACCCATATGGAAACCCACACATTTTAAGAGATGAAGCAGGTAAACAGCAGGCAGCAGATAGCTGGCTCTTTTCTACCTTGTAGAGGATGGGGCTCTTAGGATATGGCGAAGGGAAGAGAAATGAACACAGAAATTTAGAAAGGTAATTGGACAACTGAAAAGTCTGGTTAAATTTCCTCGAAGATCAGGAACAAGACAAGGTTGCCCACTCTCACCACTATTATTCCACATAGTTTTGGAAGTTTTAGCCACAGCAGTCAGAGAAGAAAAAGAAATAAAAGGACTCCAAATCGGAAAAGAAGAAGTAAAACTGTCACTGTTTGCAGATGACATGATACTATACATAGAGAATCCTAAAGATGCTACCAGAAAACTACTAAAGCTAATCAATGAATTTGGTAGAGTAGCAGGATATAAAATTAACGCACAGAAATCTCTTGCATTCCTATACACTAATAATGAAAAATCTGAAATAGAAATTAAGGAAACACTACCATGTACCATTGCAACAAAAATATCTAGGAATAAACCTACCTAAGGAGACAAAAGACCTGTATGCAGAAAACTATAAGACACTGATGAAATAAATTAAAGATGATACAAACAGATGGAGAAATATTCTTGGATTCTTGAAATATTCTTGAATCTATGTTCTTGGATTGGAAGAATCAACATTGTGAAAATGACTACATTACCCAAAGC